AAGATGACGCTTTTTATATAAAAAAAACCGTCGTATATTATATGTAAAGATGACAAATTTTTTTTTAAAAAAGCGTCGTCTTTTAAAACACGCTAAAAAATGGCCGCTTAAGTGAATTCGCGCTCGATAAATTTTCAAATTTTCACCCGTCTTTGAAAATCTTATCTCTCATTAACAAGCGTCGTCTTTTAAAACACGCTAAAAAAAGTCTACTTAAGTGAATTCGCGCTTGTCAAATTTTCAGATTTTCCCCCGTCTCTGAAAACCTTATCTCTCCCTCCTTGAAACCCTCATGCACTCTCTAAAACACCCTCATAAAACTCTCTACAAAATCATCAAAAGATCGATATCAATGAAGGAGTTGAGAGATTGAGGTCTTAGCAAATCCATAAAATGTAGAGGGATGTTCTGTATTTGAGAATCAAAGCTGGTTGAAAGGTTGATTTGAAAGTCACCTAATCTCTTAATACCCTTCTATATCTTGCTAGTGAATTCTGGATTAGTCTCTTTGCGTTTTTGGTATGTTCTTTGTATCCCTAATTTCAGATTTTGTCTTTCTGATTTGTCTGATTTGTTTACATATTTTTTTTATTTCTGGTTTTTTTTAGATTTTCTGATTTGGTTATCAGGAGATGAGGAGGAAGCTTGCAGATTTATAACTTTTTCTTTTGCAGGTTTTCTATGTGAGACGTATGTTTTTTGTTGTTGAAAATTTGCAAGTTCTCGATGGTCTTTTTTATGCTCATTTTACAAGTTTTCTATGGAAATATGGACCAATGGTAAAATTTCTCTTCCACCTAATTTTTATGTTTATAATCTTAGCTTTTTTTTTTTTTTCTCTCTTGTCATTTTGATTTATTTACAGGGATGATGGAGGAGACTTCAGTTGTGCATCATTTGTATGTTTGGATGAGGAATGCTTGGATTAGGAGTACGTAGGTCTTGTTAGGAATTATGTTTGTTGTAGAATAAAGATTGGTTAACTATGTAATAACTATTGAATCTTCAAGTTTTATGAAAGAAACTATTTTTGATAAAGCATTATGGTTGGTTTTCTAGTTAAAATCGTTGTATAGCATCATAGGAAATCAAAAAGCATTATTGTACGTAAAGATGACGTTTTTTTATAAAAACCGTCGTCTATTGTATGTAAAGAGGACGCTTTTTATAAAAACCGTCGTCTATTGTATGTAAAGATGACGCTTTTTATAAAACCGTCGTCTATTATACGTAAAGATGACGCTTTTATAAAAAAAACCGTCGTCTATTGTACGTAAAGATGACGATTTTATAAAAAAACGTCGTCTATTGTACGTAAAGATGACGCTTTTTATAAAAAACCGTCGTCTATTGTACGTAAAGATGACGCTTTTATAAAAAACCGTCGTCTATTGTACGTAAAGATGACGCTTTTTATAAAAAAAACGTCGTCTATTGTACGTAAAGATGACGCTTTTTATAAAAAACGGTCGTCTATTGTACGTAAAGATGACGTTTTTATAAAAAAACCGTCGTCGATTGTACGTAAAGATGACTCTTTTTATAAAAAACCGTTGTCGATTGTATGTAAAGATGACGCTTTTTATAAAAACCGTCGTCTATTGTATGTAAAGATGACGTTTTTTATAAAAAAATGTCGTCTATTGTATGTAAAGATGACGTCTTTATAAACAATCCACGACGGTTTTCATAAAAAAATCGTCATCTTTACATACAATACACGACGGTTTTATTAAAAAACAGTCGTCTTTCCTCCTATAATTAACGATCTTTACCTCTAAACAACGACGATTTTCTTTAAAAACCGTCATCTTTACTGATAAACAACGACGGTGAAAAGCCGTCGTAGTTTGAAACCCAAATAGACGGCAGTCGATTTCACGACCGGGCGAAAACCTTTTACACGACGGTGGTTTCCTGTCGTCTATTTCGATTTTTGTAGTAGTGTAACAAAATTTTCGGTTATGCGTTACACATGTATTGGATCCCGTACAAGTATTAATTGAATTTAGTGGAATTTTCAATTCATGTGTTACACATATGTTCAATCCCGTACAAGTATTAATTAAAAGGGAGCTTTAGTTTTAAACCATAATATAGTTTACTAATTTAGTAGAAAGAAATACAATTTAGTCTAATTAGCAAAAGGCCAAAAACCAAAATGTAACAAAAATACCATTACAAAATATGAAAATTACAACATATGCCATTTTCAGTATTTAGTTTTAAACCAAAGCTGAAAAACGACATCAAACCAAAACTGAACCAAAACGACATCAACCGAAACCAAAATTGAATCACAACCTATTCGCGCGACCTTTCAACTTCACCTCCAGAAACCTCCAGACCGCCAACGATCATCGAAGACCACCAACGATCGAAGCCGATTCTTCATCTCAGTTTCTGGTTTTGGTTTTCTGCATCTCAGTTTCTGGTTTTGGTTTTGGTTTTGGTTTTCTGCATCTCAGTTTCTGGTTTTGGTTTTCTGCAGTTTTCTGCATCGCAGTTTCTGGTTTTGGTTTTCTGCAGTTTTCTGCATCTCAGTTTCTGGTTTTGGTTTTGGTTTTGGTTTTCTACATCTCAGTTTCTGGTTTTGGTTTTCTGTAGTTTTCTGCATCTCAGTTTCTGGTTTTGGTTTTCTGCATCTCAGTTTCTGGTTTTGGTTTTGGTTTTGGTTTTCTGCATCTCAATTTCTGGTAGTTCTACTCTTCTCTTGCCCACCCAATTCCTCATCTGGGTAGCCATTACTCTTCAAATTGGTGAGGTTGAAGGCGAAGGAAAGAAAAAAAATCAAATTGTAATTAAATAAAAACTGCAATGCAGTTTCCAGTTTCTAAAAGTCCAATTTTGAAGTCCAATTTTGAGTTCCTTTTCTCTTGGGTAGTTCTACTCTTCTCTTGCCCACCCAATTCCTCATCTGGGTAGCCTTTACTCTTCAAATTGATGAGGTTGAAGGTGAAGGAAAGAACAAAAATCAAATTGTAATTAAATAAAAACTGCAATGCAGTTTCCAATACTGCAATGCAGTTTTCATTTTCTAAAAGTCCAATTTTGAGTTCCCTTTCTCTTGGGTAGTTCTACTCTTCTCTTGCCCACCCAATTCCTCATCTGGGTAGCCTTTACTCTTCAAATTGGTGAGGTTGAAGGCGAAGGAAAGAACAAAAATCAAATTGTAATTAAATAAAAACTGCAATGCAGTTTCTAGTTTCTAAAAGTCCGAGAGAGAGAGAGATCTAATCTGATCAAAAAGGGAGACCAATAAATATTTTGATAAAAAGGGTATAATTGTCTTTTCAGTGATTAATATAAGGTGGGCCAATGAATCTGAGCCTCCTCTTTGGCCTAATCCAAAATACATATTCTTTTATGGGTATTAAAACCCAAACCAAAATACCTAATGTCTCAAATCCAAATTACTAAAGTTAATCATGTCTAATTCCTAATTTTCCTTAATTAAAATTAGTGAAATTTTCGGTCCATGCATTACACATGTAGTGGAATTTTTAGCTGTGATGGCATCACTGGGTGACTCCTACATAATAGCCAGCTGGCATCAAAGTATTAAATGGACTGTACAATGATAAAGAAAGAAGAAAAGTAACCAACATATTGACTTGGTACAAGTCTACTTTTTTTTTTTCTTGTACAAAGAATTTACAAATCCAAATGGTTTACGTCTATTTTCTTTCGGTGATACACAACGACAAGAAAGTTGTTGAGGAGGAGAAAAGGCAACAACTTTCCTTAAGACAGACAACAAATCGTAATAGTGCTTGAGCAACAACTTTGTTATTTTGTTGCATATTCCATTAGGACACGGACATACTACAATGATGTTTGCAACGATAATTTTTGTTGACTGTATGTTTAGGTAACGAATTTTGACATTTGGCAACAACTTCCAATTGTTTCCGAATGGATTATTTGTTATATTTTATTTTATTTTTGTAGCTAGCAAGTCCTAAATTAGATATTACCTGATCCATATGATATCAATCCTCAAGGAACATGACAAATAATAAATTTCCAAAGAACATAAAAAATAAGATCCATCGTTTTGATCATTAGTTGAATCAATTCCCATGTGAGGGGGGGTGTACAATTTTTTTCAATTCTGCCACTTATTTCCTTAAAAGAACATCAATAATATTAATCATAGAGTTCAAAAGGAGAGTTATATTGCATGCCATAAATCATAGAGTTCACTTCAAGACATTAACGCTCCAAAATCATTGTGCCATTTCTCATCCCAAGTTCAGTTATTAGAGAGAACGCTCCCAAAGCATCTCCAACCTGTAATACTGTCAACAACAACTGATATGACATGATAATATTCATTGATTGATATGACATGACCACATCAACTGTCGTATATAAGGTGATTAGCTAATATTTTATATATCTAAATAGCATTAATGTTGACATAAACCAAAACAAAAAAGTGGGTGGCGTCCGCACCTATACACGTATTCATTGAATTAACAAAATTTTCGGTTATGCGTTACACATGTATTGGATCCCGTACAAGTATTAATTGAATTTAGTGGAATTTTCAGTTCATGTGTTACACATATGTTCAATCCCGTACAAGTATTAATTAAAATAAGTGAAATTTCAGTCCATGCATTACACATGTAGTGGAATTTTTAGCTGTGATGGCATCACTGGGTGACTTCTACATAATAGCCAGCTGGCATCAAAGTATTAAATGGACTGTACAATGATAAAGAAAGAAGAAAAGTAACCAACATATTGACTTGGTAGTCTACAAGACTATCTTTTTTTTTTTCCTTGTACAAAGAATCTACAAATCCAAATGGTGTGCACTACGTGGCAAGTTGGGAGTGGGCATGCATTGCAGGATGGGGCTATAAATAGGGGCAGTGGGCATTGTATGAACTCACCCCAAGAGACTTACAAGCCATTAGCCCTAAGTCTGATATTTCTCTCTTCTTTCTTCTGCCATATTGAAACCCTGAAAGATTTTTCGTAAGCCATCGATGATGACAAGCCTGCCTAAAAACAAAGCGCGGAATGCCACAGTTGAGTCCTCTGCCCAAAAGGAAGGAGTACATATTAGTACCACCGTGACTCATGAGGAGCACATCCGGGTTGAAAGGGTTGAGTCTTACGTTTCTGAAGACCAAATCTGGACTGTTGTTCATGAAAACCACTTTCCTGACCCGAACAATCTCAGCTTTAGCGTTCGCGATCTTTTATCAGTCACTGGGAACATCATTGATGAAGCAGCCAATAACTCCATCGTTGATGATATTCTACAGGTAAGTACCTCTATAGAGTTTTAGTATGTATTAGAACACTACTATTTTTAGTACACTGATGACTTAATTCTCATCACTTTTATTTTCTGCAGCACAATGTATCTGACATGACAATCTACGACGGGGACGACACCTTCATCTCTCCATTATGCCTTCTGAAGTCCATTAGCTGCCAGGTCATATTACATCCATAGTAATATTTAATTGTTGTTTATATATATATATATATATATATATATATCTGTTTTTAAGTCGAATTTTTTTTTAATGCTTTTTCTGGAGAACGCATATAGACCATAAATTATTGGATTTGGATCTATATGTGCGCATTAACATATTGACTGATCATAGTATATATTGCGCTGAAATTTCAGATGTCATCATGTAAGGATGGTGAACAAGTTTCCCTCCCTTTAAGGACTGAAGCAATATTTAAAAAGCTAAAAACGTTTTCATGGGAAGCGAAGGCAGTGCTAACCCTAGCAGCCTTTGCTTTGGAATATGGAGATTTCTGGCACCTTGCCCAGAACTATGGCCAGTGTGACAAACTTACCAAGTCAGTGGCAATCCTTAAGCGAATGCCGATCCTTATCAAACACGAAACCTTAAAGAAACGCAGGGCTGCGATTAACAATTTGATCGTGGAAACATATCATGTGATTCGTTACAGCGTTAAGCTGGAGGATCTTCTACGGCACAACAATCCAAATGATGTTCCTACATTGACCACTGCAATGAAAAAAATCCCAGCGGCAGTGTATTGGATAATCTACACTATTGTAGCTTGTACGGCTAAGATCAACCGTCTTACCAGTGATAAGTAAGTTTCTTTCATTTAATCAGCACAATATATATGTGCAAGAAAATTTCTTCAGTAAATACTTTTCTTTAGTTCTTCCTATACCTAAACAATACATAATTAAAATGTATTTGTGTAATTGTGTATCATGATATGATTTTCCCCGGTGCAGGGAGGAGCCGGACAACCTACCCAAGCTATCCCTGAAAATCAATGAAATCCACCAGAAACTTAAGGAAGATTATGACAAATGCGTGAAGGAAATAGATGAATTACGTAGGCGTGTGTGTGTACAGATCTATGGATGTTTCTTTCTAGTTCTCTGTGTTTACCTCATCCTATTCAAGGACTTTTTATTCGAACGTTCTTCCCCATGACAACTGTGTTTAAGGGGAACATATTGTCAAATGAGCTCAAGCTATTACATTTGTAGTATCAATGGGCGGACTTGGGGTAGTGCAAGTGGCGCCACCGCACAAGGGCCCCGATTCTTAATGGGTCCCCAAAAAAAATTCCTATATATATATTAATATTATAGGAATTGTATATATATAGTACATCGTGCTAAACATTTGCACGAGAGCTTGTCTAGTGGAGTTCGCTCCAGCGCATATCTATTTAACAAAAGCGCTAGAGTTCGATTTTCACTGAAACAGAAAGCCTTTAAAAAAAAGGAAACATCAAAGCTAACCACAAGAGGAGCAATATATATATCCCCCAAACACTCTCTACTCCTCACCTATCGTAAATAAATTTAAAATAAAAAAAAAAAAAAAAAAAAAAAAAAAAAAAAAAAAAAGAAAAGTACTTTCTTCATTAAAAACAAAACAAAAAAAAACTTCATGGCTTCTTCTTTCTCTTCCACTCTGATTTTCTGGAAAGTAATCATCATCATTCATCAATCTCTCTTTGGTTATTTTTTCAATCCTTTAACAATTTTTTTTATTCTATCAATTTCAGGAATTTCAACACTAAAAAGAGAAAACCCTAATTCCTAAATTCATAAAGACCACTCAAAATCAAATAGTCAGATTCAAATCTCAATTCAAATTCAGGTATGTATCTAAATTTCAATCTATTCGATATATTACATGACTTATTTTATGAAATTATTATCATGTTGACGATTGGTTATATGAGAATTGTTTGACCTTGGTCGAAATCCGACCATGCGTCTTGGAAAACCAATAGTCCAAAATGCAAATTGGCGGCTCAAGGTGCCTAACGGCCAAATCGAAACAAGAAGGCCGGACTTGGGGGTCATCCTGCACCATATCTCGTTTAATCTTCAGTAAAGTTTATAGCTTAAGATACATGATGTTCCATCATAATTCAGACTAAGATCTTAGAAGTCGAAACCTAACTTCCAACAATGGGTTGAAAACATCTGACTTCCAAAGTCGAAACATTTGGAACTTCTGAAGTGGATCAAGGCCAAGTCATCTGATCAGCCAAGGTCAAGTCCTTTGATCAGCCAAGGCTAAGTCCTCTGATCAGCCAAGGCCAAGTCTCCTAATCAGCCAAGATAAAGTCTCCTGATCAACCAAGATCAAGTCTCCTGATAGGTCAAGATCAAGTCATTTGATCAGCCAATGTCAAGTCATCTGATCAGCCAAGGTCAAGTACTCTGATCAGCCAAGGTCAAGTCATCTAATCAGCCAAGGTTAAGTCATCTGATCAGCCAAGATCTTGGCCTTCGATCAGCCAAGTCAAACCCAACTCCAAGTCCGGTCAAGAAATTCCAAGTCATGAACATCAATGGGTGTTTTAACCAAGATTAGAATTCCAGAAGTTACAATGTTTCACCAGATGCCAAGTTAAAGTCTCGTAGGTCCAAGCCCAAGGCACATATTAGAACCCATGATTTTCGGAGATAGCGTGCACGTGATGGAGAGGCTTCATAAGGAAGGAAATCAAGGAGATTGACGACAATTCGGAGTATTCCAAAGAAGAGATAATCAAGCAATCAGAAGGTCTCCATCATTGTGATCCCACCGATTTGAAGGCTTCACAAGGAAAGGTTTTGAATGAAGTTGACCGTTGGACATTTAATAGCCAACCCATGGGTTGACGGATGTCTCTATATAAACCTCATTAGATGAAGGGAAAAGACCCCGACATCAGACACAAAAACCTACTTTTTGTCTTTCAATTTTCTATCCCTAGACTAGGTTTTTATTTTCCAAGCAAGTAGACTAGATCAGTTCTTCACTTTCGTTAGTGTAAGTTTAATTTATTGTATTTTTCATTACGTTGTCTTAAGATTCAATTTTATCGCTTTATTGTTAATTGTTATCGAATTTGCTTTAAGCTTAATTTAATTTCAAATTGCTTTATTTTATTGCCTTTATCATTTATATCATTCTTATTTTGTTCTTAATTTAATTTAATTTTATCTATCGCTTTGATTTACTTTATTGCACTTCAATTCTTGTCTTTAAGTTTAATCTCATATTTTAATTTAATTTGCATCATTATCATTAGAAATCTCAAAAATAATAAAATACCTATACGAAACCTAACCATCCTCGACTTTGAGGAAGTGAAAGAACCTAGGCCAAGAGGAGGTTTCTTGCTTAGCCGATCAATCGGCTGGTTAGAAGTCAGAAGCCCGAACATAACAATCCAACCTTTTCCATTCAAGCTAGTCAGTGGGTTGGTGGTGGCACGCCTGCGCAATCTAAAAGAAGAAGGACCTAAAACTCATTCAATCAGCCTACCTGGCTGAAAAGAAGGAAACATAATTTGGCATTCCCGGTGGGATCCACTAAATGAGCGACCGAAAGGAATGGCAACATTCCTATCAGCCGATGAACTACAATGGCTATGATTCTTATAGCTCAAATTGCCAATCCATCGGCCAACATGGTGACAACAACCACTGTGGCCAATACAATTTTACCCATCAATGTGGGTCTAACAACCAGTATGACTCAAGTAGTCAAATTGGTGGCCAATATGGTGGATACAACTATATTGCTGAATACGATCTTATGAACCAAAATGGTTCGAATGATCAAAACGTCTTTGGTGGTGAAACTAATCAAGTGGCATGGGGGCACTACACTTACCCAAATGGCCAAAATAATTCGGCCAATATTTATGATTAGCCTAGTTATGGCTCCCACCAAATGAATTTTCCTAATGGCTATAATGGCCAAAATGTTCTTAACATAAGTGAGAGGCCATATGTTGACCGTCCGGATGAGGAACATCAAAGTTTGATGAAGGAAACATCTAAAGTCAATGATGTATTTATGGAGATGGCAGATAGGTTTTATGTTTCCAACGAACTTTTGATCCAACGTTTGCGTGAAATCTCCTCATGATTTGAGATCGGAGAGCAAGTTCTTAGCCAACAAGCTAAGGGGCAAACTCTCAATCCTAACCTTGATTCTCAATCACAAGAGGAAAATTCTCATGTGGTTGCAATTCGGCCACTTGTTCCACCTACTCCTTTAGAGGAAAGTAAGGTTTATATGAAATATGAGGGTGAGAAAGAGATAGGTGAGACGACCTTAGAATCGAATGTTCAAGTCGACATTCTTATTAAGAACCTGACATTGGTTGAGGAAAAATTGTCAACCCAAGGGGATGAGTCCCAAAAGGTGGTCACTGATGAAAATTTCAGTATGGTCCAACCCAAGGCACCCATCCTAGAATGTAATAGCCTACAATCTGGTGAAAAAAAAGTCGGAGCATGACCTAAGATGCAATAATGATAGATATGATTGTAGGAGAAAAGTTCGACATTGTGAGACCACAATTACAAGTGGTCAAGTTTATTGAGCCCCAGCCAAAGATTAAGACTGGCATACCAAGTAGACTTGGGGGGAATGAAGGGCCGGCCAAAGTGATGGTTAGAAGTCATCCAAGTTGTACTAGTCATCCTAGTACTTCAACCCATCGCCAACGACATGGCAAGATCCGATTCGAGAATAAGGACTCCCAGCTTAGAGTAAAACATGGTTGACCACCACCATGGTCTCCATGAAAATTTTGTTCTATGAGGCCACCTACTAGGTAGGCCGTTAAGATTCTAATAAAGGTCATGATTCATTCTTGAACAAATTGGCCACTTAGTTTTATAAAAATTTAATAGAAAAACAAAATCAATGAAGTTGACTTCCTCATATGACATATTATACTTTGTCTGTGAGCGAATGTCGACATTTCTCATGGAAGGCTTAAGATTAAGTTCCATCAGTAGAAGGTGAATGATGCCTTATTTCAGCCCTGAAAGTTGAACCTTGTGATTTGTGGGCGAAAGATGACTTGGGGGGATATCCACAACCCAAGTAATTCATTGGAGGGATTCACATGACTTCGATCATAATCAGATGGTTAGTTGAATAATCAGCAACAAAATGTTTCGAACATTCAACAAGGCGAAAATGGCATCGGCTGAGCTACGACCGTCAACCCCAACCATGTGGTGGTCGAAGATGTTACAGAAGCCGTTGGAGGACCAGTCTTACGGTCAAATCCGGCCACTTCATTGGAGATCCAATAGCTCATCTGAGCAATGAAGACATCAAACCAACTCAACCATCAACGGTTGCAAGATATGGCTCAAACCATAGCAACCTAAAATGCTCAGATAAATGAGAGGTTTGATCGATTGATAGGCCAACAAAATGGCCAAAAAGGGAATCAGGTGGCTCCAAATGGAGTGCCAGCTGTGGGGCCTCAAGTAGAGGTTCAACCAAATTCTTGGGTGCGAACCCGCCTCAACTGAATCCACCAGCTGGGGGTAACCCAGCCCCAGCGGTCAATGTTCAGCCCATAGGTAATAGCCCATATGTGGCGGCCAACCAATTCCCCGGATTCCCATCATATAACCAATTTCGCCCGCAAGTCCACCAGGGGGTAGGAGTCAACTTCGCTGGACCTCATATCAACCAATTCGTCGGCATCGGTGGATGGAATAATCTTGGTGGGAATGCGAATTTGAATAATCAATTGCTAGGAAACCAAGATATCGACCGAGGGGCGATCGAACAGATGATCAAAAATATGGTGCCTCATGCGAGGAGGATTGGTAGACCAGTTTATCGGAGGCCTTATCCAGAGCGTTTTGATCAAGAAGAGTTTCCACGAGGATTCAAAATCCTAGACTTTGCATTGTTTTCAGGGGACGGTCTTCAGTAGACCGTGGAGCATATTGACTGATTCATGGCTCAATTTACTGAAATCGGATATCGTGAGGCCTTGAAATTAAGGTTATTCTCGAGTACCCTCACGGGGCCTGCCTTTTCATGGTATGTCAAACTCTCTCAGAGCTCCGTTCCAAATTGGCAGACTATGGAGCAAATCTTCCACGAACAATTTTATCGGCCAAAGCCAGAGGTTTCGATGGACGACTTGGCCAAGATGCGTCAAGGATAAAATGAGTCAGTCCAGGAATACTTGGGGAAATTTAGAGAAGCAAGGATTAGATGTACGGTCAACATGCCTAAACATGAGTTTGCAAAGTTGGCCCAAGGTGGATTATTGCTCGATCTCAGGAAGAAGTTTGAGGAGTTTCACGATATTTATGATCTCCTACTTTGAGTAGATCAACATGAAGCTATTCTAAAGGAGGAACAACAAAAGAATCGGCAGACATCTCGCCCAACCTTTTACAGAGATCTGCCAAAACCTTCAACATCTAGAACCACGGCTGTCCATGTGGTGGATGTTGAAGATATGGACTCGGAGGAAAGAGATGAGGAAGTCTTTCTAGAGGAAGAAAAAGAATTGGCTGGGATAAACTTGGAAGAAATAGTGGTGAGCGGACCACAAGTTTTCAATTTATCTAAGCTTTTGCAATGATGATTTATGAATGAAAAATTAAAAATTAGACAATTGAAATATAGACAGCTCAGATTGTTGAGGTAAAATTTGTGGTGGACCTCACAAGATGTCCGAATGATCCCTCAATAAAAAGGAAACATATGAATGATGAACTAGTTAGTATTTCTCTTTACATGCGTTAGTCCTTTACGTAAAAACCGAATTTGTAATTACTTGTCATAATCTGCCAATCGATAACCTGCCAATAACTTGTTGACATTTTGTTAACTTTTGTTATTTCAAATTTTGCATATCTATTAAATGATGGATGTCTTATGTAATAACCCAAACCCAAAATTAATATTTAATTATTGTTGAGGCCCAAAAAATCCATGGATCGGGCCCAAGCAACTATCAGCCCAATACAATATTTCATAAGGGAAAAGAAAAAAGGGATCTATCGCATGCAAGTTATAACCCACACGCCACGCTAAATAAACAAATTATCATGCTATGATAAAATATAATTAAATCATGCTAAAAATTAAAACAATCCTTCCCAAGGGCGATAAGGTAAAATATGCCGAGCAACATGCCATGCCGTTATCTGGCACCCAACCACGCTACAAGCCTAGGTGGGCCCAAGCCACTCAAAAAGACCCGGGGCTTGCTTGAGTGGGTTGTGGCATGGATGGTGATAAATCAACATGAGGCCCATTGATGGACCAAGAAATGGAAAGTCTCGGGTTGCTTGGGAGCCTCGAGACTCAGGCCCATTTCTTAGGTCCAAACATGTGGGTAAGCACAAGAGAGAAAAAATAGCCCAAAAGCCCAAGCAAAATAACCTAGCCAAGAGATAACCCAACCAAAAAATAATAATAAGCCCAAATCAAGCCCAATAAGCCCATTTGCTTAGAAAGCCATCTTGGCCCTTAGAAAAACCCAGAAAAAGGCCCACAAGAGCTTCAGCCTTTTTTGAAAAACAGAGGACACGTGAAGGAGTAGATGGCAGGCTCCTTAAGTAAGCTGCTGGAAACCAGTCCCAAGCCAGAGACATCCAAAGAACCGATGAATACCATCCTGCATGCTGTCAGAAGCATCCCTTGGACCAGCATACATTTGCACCTCCTTTCCTTCATCAGATTCAGCCAAGGAAGAGGAAAGAAAAGGAAGAAAAACAGCAAACTAAGAGTGGAAGCCCTCATTGCACAGCCGCGGGAAAGAGGGATGTTGAGCCCCCAAAATCTCCTAAATTCATGAAGATAGACAGAAGCCATCTTTGCCAAGAAAGGGAAGTCAGAGAAGGGGAGGAGAAAGGAAGAAAATCTCAGCCAAAGTAAGAAGGAGCCATTAGGGTTTCTTGAAAAATGGTGATTTCCGGCAGCTATAAATTGAGCCTTCCCCTACCCAACAAACACAACTCACAACCTGCAGAGAGCAAGCTTTTCTCTCTATCTTGCAAAACTTAGATTCGTGCACTGTTCATCTTCTTCTCCAATTTGTTCTTCTGGTAGCTGCTGGAAGAACCCTATCTCTTTTTCTCTTTCTCTAGCCAAAATTCCACAAAAAACACCCCATTCCTTACTTAAACGCTTTCATTCCTCATAAACCAAGCCTAATTTCTCTCTTAGTGCTAAACCCATGTTGGTTTTGCTCTCCATGCCTCATGCCACTCATGCTGAGCCTAAAAACCATCTGAAAGCATGCCAAAATTATCTGTAAGCCACTATTATTCTCATTGGTGAAGGTTACTCAAAATATCTCCTAAGGTTTCGCTGCCCTTTCGAGGTATTTTGAGGCTTAATTTTCGAACCTAAACGAAAAGGGGCAATCTCCTCAGTCCACCTTTTGCAGCAGCCCAGCCCGTTAGCTGCAGGAAGAAAAAGTCCCCTACATAAATTGGCGACTTCACTGGGGATTAAGCCATTATCTTCATCAATGCCTCCAAGAAAGAAGACCAGAAGCAACAACATAACTTCCCAGGATGGGCCAAGCCATGCTGACTCAGAGTCAAGGCAACATGCCTCTTCTAGAGAAGAAGAACGTGCAAGTGAGGGAACTTTTACCCTCACAGATCTTGTTGCAGCCATTCGTGCTATGGGTGACACCCAGAGGGAGATGGCAGAGATGATAAAAGAACTCAAAAATTCGGCTCCAAAGCCAAGTGAAGTGAATGAGAAGCACCCACAGGAGGAATCTGCTGCTGCCGGAAAGGAGTCTGAGCAGAAGGGACCATCTTTTGTCACTCAGGAGGACGTTGTTGCCATGCTGGAAAAGGAGCTGAGTCGAAGTCAGGAAGATTGGAAGTATCTTCCTCAGCCGCCGTATCCATCAAGCTTACTCCAGCAGCCATATCCTAAAGGCTATGAAGCACCGACCTTTGTCCTCTTTGATGGACGAAAGGGGAGCCCGAAGGAGCATGTCAATCGCTTCATCGATGCCTTGGGACCGTATGCTGGTGATCATAATCTTCGACTTAGAGAATTTTCAAAGAGTCTCACTGATCGTGCTTACACATGGTATACAACGTTGGCACCAGGCTCTATTCATTCCTGGGAAAGTCTGGCAAGCAGGTTCTGTAAGAAGTATTTCCAGCATGAAGAACGAGTCACCACCACTCAACTCAACAACACCCGCCAAAAGCATGGTGAGGATCCCGTGGACTTTGTACGCAGGTTCCGGGACCTGGCATTGGATTGCTATGATGAGAAGGATGAGGAGGCGCTTGTTGAAATTTGCATCAGCAATATCGTGGCAGATTATAGGGTGTATTTGGAGAATATTGGCATTAGTCAATTTTCTCGGCTGCTGGAAGCTGTGAGGAAGACGAGCATGTCCGTCAGGCCACCAGGACAAAGGACTTGGAGGAATGAGAAGAAGGAGGCGCATCAGACATTAGCAATAGATGACAAGCCATCCAATGACTACAATTCACGCAAACGCAAGGATAGAGAGACGTATCCACCACTACCATGCAAAGATGAAGAATTTCATGCTATCCTTGACACAATGATTGCTGATGGCGTAATCAAACCTGTCAGACCCTACAAGGTTCCTACTCGAGAGGAAAAAAATGATCCTAGGTACTGCCGTTATCATCAATTTGTGGGGCATCCAACCACTGCCTGTCAGAGCCTGAGGAGGATTTTACACGCCAAAATACATGAGGGAGTCCTTGAACTTCCCTCTAGGAAGCAAACCATTGATGAAGACCCCTTGCCAAAACGAAGGGGAAAAGAGGTAGCCGCTGTCATTACATGTTCTGATGATTTGCTTGATGATGATGAATTGTGCCACCCTTGGAGGAATGACCCAAAGCCGCCGGAAGCCGTATGGGAACCTTGCGGAAACATGGAAAAGGCATATTGGTGTAAATATTCAAGGCCTTCAAGTTACAACACACCATGGCCACTCGCTGATGGATGGGGTGACAACTCAGGCAGCGAAATTTTTGTCTTGGACATGCCGGAAGAACGCTACTCGGGGGCTTTATCGGAGCAGCAGGAAGCAGCTGCCGTGACATTTCATAATATCACGGAAGCTGAAACAAGTGTGATGGAACGTTATTTAAGCATGAAACAGGGGCCCACAGCTTCACAGGTCCTTCAAAGAAACCCCAAAGTTCAAATCACTCTTTGACCAACTTGGCTTCGGGCCGCAAGCAAGAGAAGCAGCTGCTGTAGCCCTGATGAATATCTCTGAGGAGTCTAATTCTCAATGCTTTACAACTCAACCACAAAGGTCATTCTTGGGAAATGACAATGCTATTGTCTTTACGGACGAAGACATGGAAGTCCCATACCCGGACCATAGGAGGCCGCTTTACTTGGAGGGACAGATCAATGATGTGTTCATAAGGAGAGCTTTGGTGGACACGGGTTCCTCTGTCAACATATTACCTCTGTCTGTGCTTACGGCAGCTGGTATCCCATTGTCCAAAATTGTCCAATCACAAACAAACATCAGTGGTTTCGGGAATAAGAGTGAGGTCACAGTCGGGCATCTACAAGTACATTTGAAAGTTGGGCCAATTCGGTCACTTACTAAGTTCTACGTTGTGGATGTGGATGTGGCTTACCATGCTTTGCTTGGAAGGCCATGGCTCAACAAGCATAAGCTTGTGGTCTCTACCTATCATCAATGCGTAAAAGGAAGGATTGGGCTGAGGCCGCTGCGCATACCTGGAAACCAAGCACCTTTCAACAAAGATGAAGCTCACTACTCTGAGGCGGAATTCTACACTGAATGCACAGGTGCTGGAAGCAATCCATCCAGGGATTTCGGGACCTACCTTCCTTCGTGGACTGAAATTCGTGATTTAAGCAATGAGGAGCTCATCACCATTGTTGATCGAGAGAGAAAGAGGCACTCGGAAGTCAACAACCATGCCTATGATCATCCCCAATGCTCAAAGGTGACGCTGCCCGATGGACGTATCGTGTACCGCTTATGATGGGGTTGGGGGCTTGACCGTGTCTTACGGGAAAGCCCCGAGTATGGAGGAAAAGTAATGCAAACAAATAGCTGTGGGAGTTCCAACGACAAGGCACCCTTGCCTTGTGCTTTCCAGGAGCCAATGGCAGCACCCAGACACATGCAAGATGGATCGTCAGCAGTAGCTGAGCAGCTGGAAACAATTGATTTGAGTGAGGATCCCTCTGCCCCAAGGCCCATTTCCATAAGTGTTCATTTAACAAATGAGGAGAGGGCGGCCTTGATATCTTTGCTAAAGGAATTTCGAGATGTGTTCGCTTGGAGCTATGAGGAAATGCCTGGTCTGAACCCAAGCTTAGTAAGTCATACTCTGAATATTGAGCTTGGTACAAAACCTATCGTGCAGGCAAGAAGGAATTTTCATCCTGAAGTTGAGAAGCAAATCAAGGTGGAAATTGAAAAGTTGTTAGCTGCCGGATTTATTAAACCAATCAAGCATCCTACGTGGCTAGCGAATATTGTCCCTGTGAAGAAGAAAACCGGTGTGATCAGAATATGCACGGATTATCGAGATCTCAAACCGAGCTTGCCCAAAGGACGAATTC